GTTTTGGATATAAATTTTTTATCAGGTGTTTTTTTTTTTTTCCTTTTTGTCTTTTTTCGTTACCGGTAACGGGATCGCAACCCTCGGTGTCGCGCCCGTACCGCACTCAACCAGTGAGTGGACCAGTCTCTATATGGGATCCGACCCCTCGGCGGGAGCCCCGCCACACCTCCAAGCGCCACACTCTACCGAGTGTGCCACCGGGCCGGCCCATTATCAGGTGTTTTTTACAAATATTTTCTTTCAGTCCATGGCTTGTCTTTTTCATTCTCTTAACAGCATCTTTTTCAGAGCAAAAGTCTTAATTTTAATGCAGTACAGCTTACCAATTTTTTTATTTCATGGGCTTTGCTCTTGGTTCGACGTCTAAAAGTTTATCACCAAATCCAAGGTTACCTAGATTTTTCTCTTATGGTATCTTCTAGAAGTTGATATGTAAGTTTTGTGTTTTATATTTAGGTAAATCTTACATTAGGATTATTTACATGATCCATTTTGAGTTAATTTTTGTGAAAGATTGTGTCAATTCATTTTTTTTTTTTTTTGCATATAAATGTCCAGTTGTTCCAACACCATTCATTGACAAGATTATTCTCCTTTAAATTGGCTGTTCCTTTGTAATATATCAGTTGACTATATTTGTGTGGGTCTGTTTCTGGGTTCTCTATTCTGTTTCACTGATTTATGTATCTGTTCGTCCACCAACACCGTGCTCTCTCGATCGTTGTAGCTTTCTACCGAGTCTTAAAGTTGGGTAATGTCAGTCCTCCAATTTTATTCTTCTTCAGTATTGTGTTGGCTATACTGGTTATGTTGTTGCCTTTGCATACAAACTTAAATTGGTCGATATTCACAAACCAGCTTGCTAGGATTTTGATCAGGATTATACTTAATCTGTAGATAAAGTTGGGAAGATTTACCATTTTAGTAATGTGGAATCTTCCAGTCTATGAACATGCAGTATCTCTTCGTTTACTTAAATCTTTGATTTCTTTCATCAGTTTTATAATTCATAGCATATAGTTTTTGAACATATTTTGTTAGATTTTTTTCATAAGCATTTCATTTTTTGTGTTAATGTGAATGGTATTGTGTTTTTAATTTCAAATTTCAATTTTTCATTGCTGGCATAAAGAAGCAGTTGTCTTTTTGTATATTAGCAACCTTGCTATAATTGCTTATTAGTTCCAGGAGTGTTTTTTGTTTGTTGATTCTTTAGAATGTTTTACATAGATAATCCTATTATCTCTGAATATAGTATTATTTCCTCCTTCCCAATCTATTTACCTTTTGTTTTCTTATTGCACTAGTTAGAACTTCCAATATGATATCAAATAGCAGTAATGAGAGAGGACATCCTTGCCTTGTTCCTGATCTTAAAGGAAAAGCATCCAGTTTCTAACCATTAAGCATGGTGTTAGTATGTCTTCTGTAGATGTCTTGCTCAAGCTAAAGAAGTTGTCCTCTGTTCCTAGTTTGCTGGGGTTTTTTTCAAAAAAGTTTTTAATGGGTGTTAGATTTTGTCAAGTGCTTTTTCTATATCACCTATAGGATCACATGATTTTTCTTCTTTAGTCTGTTGATGTGGTGGATTATATTAATTGATTTTCAAATGTTGAACTAGCCTTGCCACTGAGTCATAGTATATAATTTTTTTCTACATTGTTAGATTTGATATTTGTAGTATCTTGTTGAGAATTTTTTTTATCTATGTTCATAAGAGATATTGGACTATAGTTTTCCTTTCTTGTAATATTTTTATCTGGTTTTGATATTAGGGTAATACTGGCTTCACAGAATGAGTTAAGAAGTGTTTTTTCTGCTTATGTTGGAAGAGATTGTAGAGAATTGGTATCATTTCTTTTTCTAGGGTTTGGTAGAATTTATGAGTGAAGCATCTGTAACTGGTGCTTTCTTTTTTGAAAGATTATTAATTATTGATTCAGTTTTTAAAAATAGTGTCTTTCTTTTTTATCTAATCTGACGATCTCAACCTTTTAACTGGGGTGTTTAGACTATTTTCATTCAATGTGGTTGTTGGTGTGGTTTGGTTTTAATCTGCCATCTTCCTATTTGTTTTCTAATTCTGCGATCTGTTTTTTCTTCCCCAGTGCTCTTTTTCTGCTTTATTTGGAGTTAATTGGGTATTTTTATGATTTGTTTTATAACATTTATTGGCTTATGGGTTGTAACTCTTTGTTTTTTTAGTGGTTGCATTAGCACTTGTAGTATATATCTTTAACTTATTACTATTTCCCTTTAAGTAATTTTATACCACTTCACATACAGTATAAGACTCTTCAATCTCTCTTCTCCCGACCTTTATGCTATGGTTTTCAAATTTTTAATTCTCATATATGTTATAAATTCCACACTACCTTATTATTTTTGTTTAAATGTTTATTACTTTTTGGAGAGATTAAGAAAAATATCTTATATATTTTCTTATGTAGTGAACTTTTCCAGTGCTCTTCATTCTTTTGTGAAGATCCAAATTTCCACCTGATATCATTTTCCTTCTGCCTAAAGGACATTTTAAAACCATTTCTTGTTGTGTGGTCTGCTGTTGAGGATTTCATTTAGCTTTTTTTTCCAAAAAGGTCTTGGTCACCTTTGTTTCTTAAAAATATTTTTGCTGGTACAGTGACTTCTGACACTCATTTCCGAAAATTAGGCCAAACTTTACAAGTCAGTGACACAGTCCTCCACAAAACTGCCCTCATTTCAGACAGCAGCCATAAGCCTGGGGGTTCCCAGACCTCCATACTTCTGACCAACTGGATACAAATTTGAGGTTTCTCACTACATACTCAGGATTAATTCACTATAAGATGGACAGAGCTCAGAAAGCACTGTACTCAACATTGCAGTTTTATTATAGCAAAAATGGTATAAATCAGGACCAACCAAAAGAAGAGATGGCATAGGCGAGGTCTGGGAGGATCCCAAATGTGAAGCTTTCAGTGCCTTTTCCCTGTGAAGTCAGGATGCTACAGCCACCCCAGCCTTCAGCAACCACCACATTGATCAGTCAGCAGCCATCAACATCAAGGCAAAACCCTCTACCAGCAAAAAGATTATGACTTGCTAAAGGCGTAGGTGATCATTAGCATTTTTTTAGCAATAAAGTATTTTGTAATTAAGGTATGTACATTTTTTAAAAGACATAGTGCTATTGCACAATTAATATTCTATAGAATAGTATAAATATAACTTTTATATGTGCTGGGAAACCCCAAAATTTGTGTGACTTGCTTTTTTGTGATGTGTACTTTATATCGGTGCTCTGGAACTGAACTTGCAATATCTTCAACGTACACCTGTATTTTTTTGCTGCTTTTTTCCCTCTTGGTGTTAGTTATTTCTGACATACTCGTATGTGTGTTTTATGTATTCCTAGCTTTACTGTGAGTGCCTGGGAGATTCTTTGTACCTCTCTGTATTTTACCCTGTAACCAGCACCAGGTCTGTTCCTTGGAAGGCCAGTTATTGTTTGTAGGACATTCATGTCCAAGGATCTCCTTGAGGCTGGGTAGTTTGTCAAACTACTAAAGCGTATCTAGCTTTACATGCCAAGGATCAAACTGTGGGTACTTGTTAATCTTTGAGATGACACTATCTAAAAAGAACAGAATGAAAAGAAAAAAAAAAGGCCTTGATATTCTGAAGAGGCCTGATCCTTATTAAGTCCTGGCTAAGGAAGCAGCTACTCAAGATCACTTCTCTTGCACGCTGGTAACCTGTGCTAGCCAGGAGATGGGGATAGATCCTAAGAGACAGCCCAGGACACAGAGCGTGGAAACCCCAGAGGTTGCAGTAGGTTGAGAGCAGATCCACTGATAAGGTTGTGCATTTTGTGCCCTGGGGGTGAGGAAGCTGAAAATGCCTCATTAGTTCAACCAAAGAGAATGCCTTTATATAATTGATACGGAGGTGCTGCATAGGGTGGTAGGGGCACTGATTAAGAAGCCGGTTTTTAGTTTGGTATAGAAACACAAGTGCTATCCAGGCCCTGTTGTATAGAGATAATGGGAAACAACAGGGCAGTTTTGTGGCACTTTGGAACATCCATATCATATCAGAAAGCAAACTGTCCAAGAGAATGCCAAGGCACATTGAACTACCAGGACCTTGGATAGCTTCAATTCCTCGTAGCCAATGTTGGTTCACAGAGGTGAGCGTGGAAGCAGGAGGTGGGCAGAGGTCAAGGGGGTGTCAGCACATCATAGAGTATGGTGCCTATTTTGACCTGGCCTTTTGGTAGAGACACATTGACAACTTCTACCAACTAGGGGCTCCTAGTACCAGCCCCTAGCTGGAAGATAGACCAAAGAAATATAGCAGGCTTAGGCTTAAGAACTGTTGTGTCTGATACAAATGTAAACACACTGTTGTGTTCAAAGCTTCTGAGCTTTAAGTTAGCAAGTTCGATGGGACACATGAAAACTCAGAAAGAGATGGTAGTAATCCTACACCTTGAGGAGGTTGGGCATGTTTGCAGATGTGGGGGCCTACAGTATGGACTCTTTTAAGGAACACTGCTATCCTGAGTCCCTACCTAAGAACCTCTGTTTCCCCTTAAAACACACACATTTTTGGTTTAGCCCCTTGGATGCAGTGTGCAGAGATATATGTACATGAGACTTTTGGGCTACACTCCTCTTACCCTTTGAGAAATGTTTAAGCATTTGACTATAATCACCTGCACTGAATGAGCTCTTTAAGCTTTTAGAAAGTTGTGTTAACTTGACAAGATAGACTGAAGCCTGTTCCTGGGAGGGCAGGAAATAGGCAAGATGCTGCTAGATCTTGAATGGATGTCTGAGAGACATGGATTATTATAGGCAACTTGAGAACAAGGGAGAAAGCCTCTGGGCTGCCAGACTTTTTACGAAGAATCATAGTGCTGTTGCTAAGGGAAGATTTCTTGTGTAAAGGTCATGTTAGCCCTCCTCAGAAGTAAACCTCTTAAGGGTTTCTTTTTCTTTCCCCACCCACAGGTAACAGTCCTTTGGACAGCCCCCGGAATTTCTCTCCAAATGCACCTGCTCATTTTTCCTTTGTTCCTGCCCGTAGGTAAGTTGATAGAAAACCTTCTCTGTAACCAGCACATGTGGCACTTGCATGAATGTTAGTTGAATGTCATATTCCTCTTTTAAGTCACTATTTTTTAAGTGTATTACCATGGGCTACCAGCCATCAAAACTCCCTTTCTGCTTTCTTATCCCAGGTTGTACTCATTTTGTACAAGTTTTGCTTTCTAAGTACCCTATGTACTTGCATTTGAATGTTTGAATGGGTGAATAAATATTAGAACTGGATTTATTTTTATAATCCCAAGCACAAGTCCCTGGTGTCCTGAGGGTGTGTTCCGAAGCATTATACTCTCAATTGAGAGCTATCCTAGGGTGATCAATGAAAAAATGGGCTCTCCTAGGAGTACCAAAAGTTTTACTCTTGTTTTTCTAACTCAGCTAGTTTCTAGAAGGGAAGGAAGGGACCTCATGTGCTTCTCTCCTTGGATTTGAGTTGGGGGAGACTACAGGATTTTCACTTATCCTTCCATGAATTTAGAAAGATTTGGTGCATAGAGAGCCATGCTTATAGTCCTCCTCCCACGTCTTCTCTCTGAGAGGAATATAAACCTATATCTGGCCCATGGCAGCAACCCTGACAGCACTGCCCATGGCCTGGTTATCACCTGGCATCTGGAGAAAACTAAACTGACTGAGATAAGTCCATCCATACCACACACTAAGGCTCCATACACAGATGATTTCTTTTTTTTTTTTCTTTTTTGTCTTTTTTACTGACCGGTAACGGGATCGCAACCCTCGGTGTTGCGCCCGCACCGGGGACTGGCAACGGGATCGCAACCCTCGGTGTTGCGCCCGCACCGCGCTCAGCCAGTGAGCGGGAACCGGTCTCCACATGGGATCCGAACCCTCGGCGGAAGCGCCGCTGCACTCCCAAGCGGCGCACCTCCAGTGCGCCACCGGGCCGGCCCCACAGATGATTTCTTTTCAGAACTTTTCTAAGATTCTTTGTTGGCAGAGTTCATGTTTTTTTAATCTTATTTTTTATTTTAAAAAGTTTTCTAGATTAGAGTTAATCTCTGGTAATAGGACCTTCAGAAAAATTACGCCTCCAGATTTGGAACCCTTAAGGGATAGAGAATGTAATGTACCTCCAGGCCAGAGCAGTTTTAATACTTGACTACTTTTTGAAAGATATAATAGAAAAAGAACAGACTTCTGGAACCAGCATTAATTCACTATTCAAGTGACAATCCAGAAGAAATCCATCCCCTTTCTCTCCAGAATTCTGCATAGCTGAAAAGATCGTGTTAGGAGAAGTTCGATGGCTGAATTGCTTTATGCAAAACAAATCTCATACAGGTTTGTCCCATGGACTCATCTCTTCTACTCTTTGTAATGTCCAATTAGTTAATCAAGGATCCTGGTAGGATCACTTACAGTATAAGAATATATCAGATTGATGCATTTGCTTTTCCAGCCCAGCTGGAAAGACACTTATTCCAGACTCCTTGCCTGGACTGTGTATGAACTATAACCTCAGATTAAGTAAGAGCTGGGACAGCAGGACATGTGGCCAGATCCCCATAAGTGGCATTGAGTCATTTCTCATTCATTCAGTAAATATCCACTGAGCACCAACTATGAGCCAGGTACTATGCTGGGTACTTAGTTATATAGTGGTAACAGAATAGTCATAGCCTCTACTTTCTTGACACTTATTGTATTAGTCAGGGTTCTCCAGAGAGACAGAATCAATAGGATATGTTATAGTTATATGAGAGGGGTTTATTAGGGGAATTAGCTCACACGACTGTGAAGAAAAGTCCCACAATAGGCCATCCATAAACTGGGTGCCGGTAGCATGGCTCAGTCCAAGTCCAAGGGCCTCAAAACCAGGGAAGCTGTTGATGTCCTTGGTGTAAGTCCCGGAACACAAAAGCTGAAGAGTCTTGAGCTCTGATGTCCACAGACTGAAGAGAAGAGTATATCCCAGAAGAGACAGATTCACCTTTTTCCTTTGTGTTCTCTCCGACCCCCAGTGGATTGGATGGTTCCCACCCACATTGAAGGTGGGTCTTTCCCACCCAGGCCACTCAGACTCTCATACTAGTCTCTGCTGGAAACACCCTCATGGACACACCTAGAAAGATAGCTTTACCAGGTTTCTCAGCATTCCTTCCTTCATCTAACCAAGTTGACACCTAGAACCAACCTTCACACTATAGTCTAGTAGAGTCTGTGTACTGGTTGTTCCCTTTGCAAGGAATGTTGTTCCTCAGATCTTTGCTTAGCTAACTTATTCCTGTCATTTGTGTCTCATCTTAAATGTCACCTCCTCAGAGAGGCCTTCCCTAAACACACAATCTAAAGGGGCCCCCTTATTATTTTCTATCAAATCATCCAGTTTTATTTTTCAAATGAGTACCTTTCAAAACTTGATATTTTCTTTCTTTTTTTTTTTTTTAAAGATGACCGGTAAGGAGATCTTAATCCTTGGCTTGGTGTTGTCAGCACCATGCTCAGCCAGTAAGCTAACCGGCCATCCCTATATGGGATCTGAACCTGTGGCCTTAGTGTTATCAGCACCGCACTCTCCCGAGTGAGCCACGGGCCGGCCCATCAATACCTGATATTTTCTTATTTGCATGTTTTCTGTCTCAACTCAACCAGTTAATAGAGATACCTTAATTTGTTGAAAGCTGTGTCTTCTGGTAAGCAACTCAGTTGATCAGATGAGTTTGGGAAAGAGAGACAATAAATGAACAAGCAGACAAATACATGGTTTTATACACTGTGATAAGCACCATGAAGGGAAAGAACACGATGCAGCATGAAAGAATAGGAAAGGAATGGGGCTGGAGGATCTTCACTGGGAGGTCACATGAGGCCACTCTGAAGGATGAAAAGCTATTGCCATGTTGGGTGTGAGGACACAGGTCTGTAGATCATTCCAGGCAGAGGAGACAGCATGTTCCATTGGTGCCCCTGTGTCTGCTTCATTCTCTGAGCTTCAGGAGTAAGACAAACTAGGGGGCTTTTGGAGCCTGGTATTACCACTGAGACCCAAACAGATCTGTGCTGGGTGGGATAACGTTTGAGTCGTGTTCATGGAACATGGAACTCTGGGCTGTCCTCTTACAGAACATAGTAAGAAAAATGGCTAGTTATTGGTTAAGGGGAGGGAAGAGTGCTTCAGCTCTGCCAAATGGTATCAGGAATCGTTTGTCTCTAGGTTACTGAGGTTGAGCTGGATCCTTACAGGACCACATCCATTTGGAATATCATACAAAAGACAGATTTAATGAAACACTAGGGAGAGACCCATCAGTCCCTTTGGTTCTCACTATAATGTATGTCTTTTCACTACAGCCATGGCCACAGAGCAGACAGGTAATAGCGGGTGATGGGGAGAGGGGCTGGGAAACTGCTATGCATGGCCAGTCAGTATGGTTTGTGATCTTGTGCTGGGTGAGAATTGGTAGTAATGATTCTTCTCTGATTGTGGGTATGAACATGGGGCCTTTCGTATCCAGCAAAGAGACTCTAAGGGATCCCCTTCTACCTGCTGGAACCGAGGCTCAGAGCTCATATGCTTGGAAGAATTGCTGAATAGTTCCAAGCTTCTGAGCCTAGGGACAAGTCATCCTCATTCCCACAACTTTTCCTCAGTTGCCCAATGAGGTGACCAGAGGAAATAGAGACATCCTGTGGCAGCATTTCTTTCTGACTGTGGTGGCCACTACTCTTAGTATACAGAGAAATGGCTGCCATAGAGTTGGTTTCCATTTCTAAAAGAGGAAAAATCACGTGTGAAAAGTTTATTTGACAGGGGTTCAGGAAATCTGTCCCTGAGTTATACTTGTCTTATCTTTGCCGAGCTCTGTTTTCCTGGGATTGACTTGCTTTATTGTGTAGAGTTCCCGGCACCCAGCAAAGAGGTCAGAGAGAACATCATGTCTGAGCATCTTCTTGGACATTTCTTTGCCTCAGAGACTAGGTTCCAGCAGAGTCATAATTTGCATGTGCTGGCTGCCTGGGTGGCATGGAGTTTGCGTCACGTGCATGTGGCATGGAACTCTGGGCTCTGTCTCATAGTAGGAAAAGTTGGGGTGGCGGGGGGGGGGGACTTCAAAAGGAGAAGACTGAGCAAGATTTTTTCCTCTTTTTGCTTCTTTCTCTCCCCATCCCCCTTCCCTGCTTCCTGCCCCTTTCATACCATGAGGCCTTGAACAAATCACTCAGATTTCTGGGTCTTAGTGTTTGCTTTGTACATTATAATATGAACCTAATTTCTAAAGATCCTCCATTGCTAATGTTCTAAGGTTCTGTAAGTAGTAGCAAAGAAGTTTTTATATAACTTTAACTAGATCAGGCTGTACCCTCAAGCACCACAAGAAAGATTACTTTATGCAGTCCAGGCAAAGAATCACATGTCCATGTTGTAAAAGCTTCAAAACATACCTGTTTGGTCTTTCTCCTCTATGGTAAAGCAGTTAACTGTAGTTCTTTGTGATGGGAGTTTTGGGGAGCTTCCTTTTGAGAGCAGCAGGAAGCCTGCCCTGAAGTCTCATATACAGCCAAGGGTATGTCACTCTTTGGCAGACATACTCAAAAACTAGTTTTATGGGCCATAGTGGATCCTAGGCAGCCTGTAACTATTTACCATTTATTGATGTTTACTTTGGACCCAGGTGGTAGTCCATTTCTCTCTCTCTCTTTCTGTGTGTGTGTGTGTGTGTGTAACACCACTTTTTAACCAGCTGGGCTAACTGGCCAGCCCAGTGGCCCACTTCTTCCTGGTTGTGAACCCAGTGGCCTGGGAAAGAACAGCGAGCCCTCTGTGTGGTGCCTTCAAAAAAGGAAACAGCTGCTTTTCAGTGGCAGTTCTGTCCTTGTGATGATGCCTTTAGCTGGAATCCTCTGTCATTGCTTCACTGGAAGTGAATAAGTCAAGAGTGTAAAAAGATTTATTCCAGAACCACAATGTTGTATAGCAGGTGTTCTTATTCAAAATTATGGACTCCTTTATAGCCAGAGATATCTGTCTCTGCAGTGAAAATCCACAATAGGCCTCTTGTAGGAGAGAGGTATAAAGCATGTACTGGACTGAGCAGCACTGCCTTGAGACAATGAGGAGCCCACCAGTGAATCAACTGCCCCAAAAATGCTGATGGACAGACAGACAGGCAGGTCCTGGGATCAGAATGGGGTCCTGTAGAAACTACCTAACATTCTTTTCTTGCATAGGACTGATGGACGGCGCTGGTCTTTGGCCTCTTTGCCTTCTTCAGGTTATGGAACCAACACTCCTAGCTCCACCGTCTCGGTAAGTAGCCAAATCTGTGGCCATATGTCCTTCACCCTGAGAAAGTACTTCCCTACAGGTTATCACTACCTGTCCAGTGTTGCAAAATGGTTCTCAATTTTTTCTCCAAACGCAAACTCAAAAAGGTTCCTTGGGGATGAGACTGAGTGGGCCAGAGGGCTAGTGACCCTTAAAAGCCATCGTGAGATCTATAAATGCCTTCGGAAAGTATGGACCAGTACCCTCTCTGATTGTCATTTATTCCTCCTGGAGTCAGAGGAGGACTTGAGGATGGACCTTTGCTCTGACAATGAGGCCAGGCATAGGGGCTACCAAGCACAGTTCCCCTACTCCCCCTAACCTTGTTTCTAGAACTGTAACTGGGAGCATGTCCCAAAGACCTGGTAGACCCTCTCCCTCTTTTTTTTTTTTTTTTTAAACCTTTTCCTTTCAAAAAAAAAAAAGGAAGAGTGATTCTTAATTTGATATCCAAGTTCAATGTGTATCAGCAAAAGGCTGGCCCGTCTCTAAAACTTTTACTTATATTTCGTTTAGAGAAGTTTTGGACTATAACACAACAGATGTCCTAATTGTTACTATGCACAATTGACCCTAAAGTGAGCCCTCCTCATTGAGCAACTTTTTAAAATTTTTTAATTTTATTATTTATTTATTTATTTATTTTTTGTCCTTTTTGAGACCGGCCGCACCGCGCTCAGCCAGTGAGCACTGTGAGCGCACCAGTCATCCCTATATAGGATCCGAACCCGCAGCGGGAGCACTGCTGCACTCCCAGCGCCGCACTCTCCCGAGTGCGCCACGGGCCCGGCCCTGAGCAACTTTTTTTTAAAACCTAGAATGACAGTTGGCAATTTTTTTCTGCAAAAGGCCAAATAGTGTTTTAGACTATGCAGGCTATACAGAAATAGGCCATAGACCTTAGGACCCTATCCCCATATCTTCTAGCATTCCTCAGGTCTTCTATGCTCAGTTTGTCTATATGCATGAATTCCAAGCAGAGAAAAGGAGTATCATTTCCTCTGTTGACTTAGATATTACTCTTAAATCAACCCAAAGATCTCATTGGGTTGATTTATATATATATATATATGTATGTATGTATGTGTGTGTGTGTATATATATATATATATATATATATATACACACAAATATAAATATATATAAATATAAAAATTATATATTCCTGTTCAGTAAGTTTTAATAGATTTAACTTATTGCTCCAGCTTATTGGGATACTTTAAAATACCAGTATACCAGTTTTGCCCACCATAATTTACATTTACCACACCAGCTTCATGTTAGCTGCAGTTGGGTGAGAATTCCTTTTGCAACTTCGATCCAAATCATTTATAAAAATCATTTATAAAATGTGGCCAAGACAGGGATGGGGAGAGAGAGGGGTTAACAAGAAATTGGTAAAGGGCCACAAAAAATGATTACATTGTGTATGTGATTACATTGTGTTGAATATACTAATTATCCTGATTTGAGCATCACATATTGCACACAAGTATTTATATTCAACACTGCACTCCATAGATATGTACGAACAATTGTTTCAATAAAAAAAATTTTTTAAATAAAAAAAAATTTTTTTTTTTTTTTTTAAAAAGATGACCGGTAAGGGGATCTTAACCCTTGACTTGGTGTTGTCAGCACCACGCTCACCCAGTGAGCGAACCAGCCATCCCTATATGGGATCCGAACCCATGGCCTTGGTGTTATCAGCACCGCACTCTACCGAGTGAGCCACGGGCCGGCCCTAAATAAAAATTTTTTTAAAATGCAGCTAAGACAGAGCCCTGTGAAGACCTCCCACTAGCTGTTTACAGCTTCATGTATTATATAACATTCCATGAGAGAAGCTTGCACTGTTCGCCAAAAAAATACTGAGTTCTTACATGGTATTGACCCTGTGGCAACAGAGTTCTTAGTGTGGTGCTGCAGCTTTGACTATAAATGGATTTGCTATTTAAACCCCAGATCCTTGATCAGTTTGTAACTAGAAATTGGTCCGACAGTGTTCGACTTGACTGCTCTCTTCTCCAGTCTTGTCAGGTACAAGGTGAATTCCCCGATCCTGGTGCTGACTGTGTTGCCTTGGCAATAGCTGTGTCTGTGGGAGTCCTGTGTAGCACTGGCACGCTCCCTCAGGTGGCCTATTGTGGCTGGCAATGGGCACTTGTCAGAAATCCCTAATCATCAAGCCATGTGTAGAATTCATGATTGTTTTCAGGTCAAGTCTAATCTTTGGGTTCTAGATCTAAAAGTAATTGTCTTCTCTGCTAGATTTTCTCTGCCTGCTGGTGTCCCTGGAGTCTGGGCACACCCATCACAGCCTCCACAAAGCCAGTTCTCCTCTGGATAACAGCCAAAAGGAAACATAGCTCAGCCATCCCAGGGGTGATTCTCTCAAGGTTGTGGAAAGGAAAACTTAAGGAGATTTCATTCACAGCTGGGCATACCTAGAACATTTCCTGAGCCAGGAAGCATAATTTCTTAATTATTTAGCATTCCAACTAGCCAGAAGCTTCATTAAAGGCAAAGGGCCCACGCAGAAGAATCTGCTTTCTACCACCTCAGGAGGCTTCTAGGTCATTAGGGAGTTCTCATACTTCATGAAGGTCTGGGTCCAACTCCCTGCGTGACTCTTGAAGGACTCTAGTATTTAGGCTTCCTCAGGACTGTGGGCTCTAAAGAGTGAGAGATGAACAAGATCGTGTACAATCAAAGCTAAAGGGAGCAAGAGAAAGAAGACCTGCTTTGGGTTTACATTGACTGGGAAGCCCCTGACCGTTTTCAGTCCTTCTTCATTCCTAGACTTCCCTTGGACATGTCTTTAATGCTGTTTCTTAATGTTTTCCCCTCTAGTCATCGTGCTCCTCACAGGAAAAGCTGCATCAGTTACCCTTTCAGCCTACAGCTGATGAGCTGCACTTTTTGACAAAGCATTTCAGCACAGAGAGTGTACCAGATGAGGAGGGACGGCAGTCCCCAGCCATGCGGCCCCGCTCCCGCAGCCTCAGGTGAGGGTCTCCCTGCCTACTGTCCCAGTACCTGTGGATCTCAGCCAGTCTGCATAGCACAGGCATCAGCACCTTTATTCCATAAAGAGCCAAGGTAGTAAATATTTTAGGCTTTGCAGGCCATAAGTCTCTGTCACAACTACTTAACTCTGTTGTAGTGTGAAAGCACCCACAGATAGTATATCAACTTTATTTACAAAAAAGGCAGTAGACCACATTTGGTCTGTAAGCTATAGTTTTCCAACCCCTGGCATAGCACACTGGCCAGCTTTAGTGAGTGAAGTCCAGTGAAGGCCAATACATCACTCCAAGAAGTACCTGATGATCCTGTCAAGTGGTCCCTCTCTTTTTTGCTTTAAAAGTACTTTAGACTCCATTCAGTAAAAGGAGAGTAATAGTATCATCAATTCTGATGGTTACCTGGTTGCAGAACCTGTAGGCACAGGGTGTGTAAGCTAGGCTAGCTAAAAACTTTGCTGTTAAAGACACAGGTAGCTGGCTTGGGGAAGAAATCCATTTCAAAAGCAGAATTAAATGCCCATCTGAATCTATTGCCTGAATCACCTGGGTCCACCTTCCTCAAACCAAACAAACCTTAATAGCTGATTTATCTGTGAATTCCTTCAATTAATCATCCATTCTCTTTGGCATTAGCTGGTAAATCTGTGCCAAAATTCTAGGTTGACGAAGAGGATAGAGATTCAAATGAGCGTGGCTTTAATGACTGAGCCCAGCTTTCCAGGGTCCCTAGGAAGTACAGATTTAGTATCCCTAATCTGAAAATCCATAATCTTCCAATGAGCATTTTCCTTGAACATCATGTGGGTGCTCAAAAAGTTTTGGACTTTGGAGCATTTCAGATTTTGGATTTTCAGAGTAGGGATGCTCGACCAGAAAGTATCTGCAAATATTCCAAAATCTGAAAAACTCCCAAATCTAAAACACTTCTGGTCCCAAGCATTTTGGATAAGGAATACTCAACCTGTAATGAATTGGCTAACATGTGCTGTTGGAGTCACAGAGGAGTGGTTCCTCCCAAGAAGAATCCCCTCAGGTAATGTTGACACCGTGAGTCACATGGCATGGGCTAGGCCAGACCACAAAGACAGGTTCAGGTTCAGAAAGTGATGAAGAGGGCCGGCCCGGTGGCGCACTGCTACAGTGCACCGCTTGGGAGCGCGGCGGCGCTCCCGCCGAGGGTTCGGATCCCACATACAGACCGGTTCCCGCTCACTGGCTGAGCGAGGGGTGGGCGCAGCACCGAGGGTTGCGATCCCGTTGCCGGTCCCGGTCCGGTACGGGCGCGACACTGAGGGTTGCGGTCCGTTGCCGGATACGAAAAAAGACAAAAAAAAGGAAAAAAAAAAAAGAAAGTGATGAAGATGGCGAGTGAGACTTCAGTGAACAGGATCAAGAATACAAATGAGTGAGTGTGGACTCCAGTGCCTTTCTTTGTCTCATAGAAGAACACCGGAATCTTGGTGGTCTCGTCAACCCACACAGAGTAAAGGGTATGTTTTAGGAAAGTTGAGATTGAGAAGACTGCAGTGATGCTCAGGGAAATTCATACTATATTACTCTTAAACCCTTAGTAATGAACATCAGTGTAGCAGGCAGAACATGGCCCACTCCAGGGAGGAAAGGCAAAGAGGAACAGTTCTGAATCTAGCCCAGCTGGGATCACCTGTCAGGGGCAGTAAACTGGGAAGGACCCAGATATCAGTTCAACGTGTGTAGCTCAAACTTTGAAATCCCTTAAGGAGATATAACCGCACATAGGCCGGAAGGGAAGATACTTAAATAAATTAAGGCAGAAAATATGTTGCCTCCCTTCTATAGATGACCCAGACTTATAGCTCACTATAAGCTGGATTGGCCTCACTCAGCTCCTAGGTCAGAGCCCAAATTAACCTCATTGGCTGCAGCTAGTTTGGAAAAAGATATAGGTGGGTATAGTCGAATACAGTCTTGCTTTGGTTGCTTTGATGGTAGTTTAATTTGGTTTGATTCCTAGAACATGCTGGGGTATGCCCCACCCCGCTGGCCAAAGCTTAAGAAGACACAGTCCTGTTCTGAGGGCAGTCATCCTAGGAAAGCCCCCAGTGGGCTTGGGAGTAGGATCCTCCTTTTAGGCCTTTCCAGATCCTGGCAGAGGTCTTTGTGAAAGCCAAGCTTCTTGCAGGAAGATAGCCTAGCTTCGGATAACACCATTTTGAACTGAAAAAGATGCATTGGGAAGCTCCAGGAATAAGGAAGGCTCTGGAACTCAGCACTAATTAAGGTGGAAGTGTGTGGGAGGGCAGGGGTTCTGAGGATAGCCATCTTTCTCCTTGATAGTTCCATGGCACTAAAGTAACACGATTGTTTCTTTCTTATTTAGTCCTGGACGGCCCCCAGTGTCCTTTGACAGTGAAATAATAATGATGAATCATGTGTACAAAGAAAGATTCCCAAAGGTAAGGTTCCATTTAAAAGGCAACTGGTAATGCCAAGGATGGCTGCCTACAGCCAGCCCTAACGGGAACACTCTAAGTAAGGGAATGAAGTGCTGCCTCAGAGGTAATGAAGAAGAACAGAAAGGTACCCAGAAGGAAGAGGATACAAGCACAGGGGCTTCCAAACTGCTTGAGAAGGAGGCAGCAACATGAGTTTGTTGACTGTACTTGCAGAACCTCTATTTCTCCACTGCCCACAGAGAGAGATCTAGAAGGGAATTTCAGAAAGGTCTTCCACCATATATTAAAGGGGAAAGAAAGAACTGAAGACCTTATTTCTCACCATGCATGTTAGGATCCATGAGTCAGAGTCCCCCCATTATAGGATTTGCCCTCTGGTAGCACCTTCATTCAATACCGATTTCTTAAGCAGTGCCTCATTACCAGGTGCCAGAGAGTGCACAGAGGTATGCTGGACGGACAAGAAGGCCAGAGAGAGCAGTAAGGTGGGAGCAGAGATCTCAGAGTTACTTACTAACATTTGGGTTTGCATTTTCAAGCAAGAAAATGCTGAGGGAGAAAGGTAGGTTACAATCCTGAGACAGCCGAGAAATAGTATTCAGAACTCTGCAGTTTGGCTATAAACCTCCTTGTATGTGGAACTAGGACTTTTTTTCCCATTTGTATTTCTTTCTGAACACCACATGCCTATGCACTCTGACCTGGTCTTCTGAAGATTGTCCCTGTTCCTGCAGAACACAGCCAGCTTTGCTCTCTCTTTATACTTTCCTGGGTCTGTCCAATCATCTCCATCTGGGTTGTGTGGTGTGTGGTTCCCTGCTCCTTTGGGAGGTCCTTCCTCTAGATTCAGGTACAATCTCCTGGACCCACATGGTGGCTTAGGGAGATGGTTTAACGCCTGTGTGCTTTTCCCTCTTGACATATACAGTGAAGCATAGAAATGAGGAAGAGCTCAGATACTGGAGCCAGACCGACTGAGTTCAAATCATGTTCTGTCATTGTTAGCTGTATGACCCTAGACAGGTTGTTGTTATTATTATTTTTTACTTTGGCACAAAAAATTTTTTAATAAAATCAGAATTTCTACATGTGATAGCATATGGTTTTGATTCTATGATTATTAAGTGTAATAACTTTATAACAATTTCTATGACAGAAAAGGTTATAGCTAGGAACTTGTTCACAGATGTGTATTTGTCATTTCCACATAACTATTCTGAGCCAGGCCTCCATTCTTCCCTGCTGGGGATCCAGGCTGGCTCATGTTTCTATCCTCAAGCCCCGAATCCCATCTTGGCATCTGTGACCAGGCAGGTTCACACCTTCAGTAAACCCTTTCTGAGCATCTGTTTCTCTCAGTTGGATCCTAGGGTTAAGTAAGAGGATCCTGAGATAAGTAAAATTCTCTCTGACTTGAAAAACTTCCCTGTCTAGAGAAAGGTTTAGAAATCAGCAGTGTCCATATGCTAACTTTACACAGGCAGGACGTCCAGTGGAAGCACAGAGGAAAGGAAACCCTAGTTTGCCTGGGGGAATGAAAGACTTCCCTGAGGAGAGATGATGCTGGAACTGACATTAGAAGGAGTAATAGGAATTTTCCAGACAGGCTTGGCAGGGTGAAAAGGCTACACACAGGGATCGGCATAAACAGACAAGCATGAAACAGCACAGGAAAGGAGGAGAACAGCAAACACATCCTTGTCCCTAGAGCAAAGGAGCATGCCGTGCTGGGGGACAGGCAAAGCTGGGTGATAGAGGACCTCGCGTATGATGCTAAGGCATTTTGACCTGACTCGAAGGTGATCTTTTCACTCCTCAGTCATCAGGTTTTCACGATGCTTTTACCAGGTCCTTCAGGCTTCGCTACAACTGAGCTAGGACTAGAAGGGAAGTGTCTCTTTTCTTGCTTATTCCCAGGCCACTGCACAAATGGAAGAGCGACTGGCAGAGTTCATTTCCTCCAACACTCCAGACAACGTGTTGCCCTTGGCAGACGGGACCCTGAGCTTTATCCATCATCAGGTGATTGAGATGGCTCGAAACTGCCTGGATAAATCTCGAAGTGGCCTTATTACATCACACTACTTCTATGAGCTTCAAGAGAATTTAGAGAAACTTCTGCAAGATGTGAGTGTCTTTGTGTGGGGTCTCTGGTGAAACCTGCACGCAGTATTGGATCATTAGTCCCAAACTAAGATCAGTGCATAGTGGTGTTCCCAGTCTTCCCAGCCTGCTTGCCACCACTAGGTCTACTTGCTGGTGTGCAGGGTCTACTACCAAATGTGGTGCTGATGGACTTAGATTCCTCCTCAGTCCCCTGAATTACCAAGAGAAGCCTGCTTGGTATCAAAGGAACTTAGTTCTGTGAGTCCATTCTTTTCAAAATCCAAAGCTGTATTACTCTGCCTGAGGCTCCAACATTGGTAGTATTCATAAGTATTTCACTAGGGGATGGGTTTCCCTAAGCCAAAAAGTGGCCCCAGTGTCTGTGGTGAGCTCTCTTCTACTAGAAATATTTAAGCAGAGCCTTCAGACTGTTTCTGCTCAGCCAAGGGAAAGCAGGCCTGAGACTGGCACTATGGGTTTTTCCATTTGCACGGTGAGAAGTTCTCTAGTGGGGACTTAAATGTTTAGAGACCTGATCCTCCCACTGTGAAACATCTCTGAGAGGCTAAAGGCAAAGTAATCCAGAGAAGGTGAAGACCAGCACGTACACTGAGTTCTTAACCACTGCTTCATGCTCCAATGTTTGCTTTGTTATCAGCCTCTCAAATAAGGTGGTCAGAAGCCCTTCCACTCAGATCACAGTTGCCCCGTGTTATACCATCAGTACTATTCGGGAGGAGAGGATGTGCCAATTTCCCCAGCACTCTTCATGTCTTTAGAGTATTTTGTAGTCCAGAACCCCTATTGCTGTTAAATGTTGGAAGGGTTCTCATATATAAAAGATAGCAATTGTTCTCTGTGCCCCTAAAAGACATAACTAGCCCAGCGGGCAGCAGTTACAGTGAGAAAGGTTTAGTTTAAATAGATGAAAAAGTACTTCCTTCTACAAAAATATCTTTTTCTGGGCTGGCTGGTTAGCTCAGTTGGTCAGAGGGCAGTGTTATAACAACAAAGTCAAGGGTTTGGATCCTCATACCAACCAGCTGCCAAAAACAAAAACAAAAATCTTTTTCTGATTTCAAAAGGAATGTTTAAATTCAAACATTGTAGAAGTATGACTTTAAAAAGCCAAAGTCCCATGAAAATCACTGCAGCTGTTTGATTCCATTCAAGAATAACTTTCTAACAGTTTTCCAGCAATTGATAGGGATGCCACAGGGACATTTAGGAATCAGAGAGTTCTGCATCAGGTAAAAGATTAAAGTAGAGGAACTTCCAAGATTCCTTGTACATCTTAAGATTGATCTTCTAAAATGCTAAAGTCAGAGCCTTGTCCAAAACCTTCAGTCATTTTTCAGACTGACTGCCCCTGGGGGTAGGTCGTTTGGTACAGAAGGAAGAGCACTGAATTTGGAGCCAGTTTGTTCATATGTTCCCTAATTTGCTAGGCCCTTGGAATATATAAAAAAAAATATTCAGCGCACGCTCTGTCTCAGGGAATTTGCCATTGACAGGGCTACAGACCCATCAACATGTGCTTACAATAGAAATAACAGTTATCATTTATAGATGTGTACTATGTCCTAGGACCCTGAATGCTTTACATGAATTATCTCACTTCCATTTATTATACTACAATGTGACTGACAAGCACCAAAGAGAGGTAGGTTCTGAGTGCAGAGGAGGATGTGCTGACTCTGCATGGAAAGTTCAGGGAAGGTTGAGTCTTGACAGATGAGTTCATTAAACGTAGGAAACAGTGTAAATAGCCTCTCCAATGTAAAAATGAACCTTGGTACATTCCAGAAATTGCAGATAAACTAGTTTGGCATGACTAGAGTGAAAGATGCCTGCAGGGAAAAGTTGATAGATGTTTTTGAAGAGTTAGGCTGGGGTCCAGGTGATGATGGGCCTTGCAAGGAGCTTAGATTTTATCATGAAGGCAATGGGGTATCATTCAGTGGTGTTAAATTTAAAAATGACATGAAGGTCCTAAATGTACAGATGAAGAAACTGAAGTTTAAAAGGCTAAGTTAGCCCAAGATAACTCACTTCTTAAGTAGCAGAACTAGACCCCAAACCCAGGTTTGTCTTATTCCAGAGCCTAAGATCATACATTTTTCAAACACTTAGTCAACAAACATTGACTGACATTTGCTATTATAGGAGGCACTATGCTAGGCTTAGCATGTGAGAGAAGAGAAAAGAGAGACATAGCCTCTGTACTCACAAAGCCCTATAGTATAGCTGCAGAGACAGCTCATTATAAAACAACATGACAGTACCATGTGGTGTGAGCAGGCAGCTAGGCGAACATAAAAAAGGGAGCAATTACTTCTTGTTCATATGTGTGTATATATGTGTGTTGGGAGGAGGGGACTTACATGAGGCTTCACAGAGTTGATGATATTTGGGCTAGGGCTTAAAAAAATAGACACGAAAAAAGACAAAAAAAAAAAAAAAAAGGAAAGGTAGGTAACTTTGTTGGAATTCCCCCTATTATTATTAGCCCTCAAATTCTTATTAAACATCAGTTATAATCCAAGCAACTTTTTAACCTCTAGTGATGAAAAGTTATCCATTGAGTAGGTATTTATTGGGTATCTGTCATGTGTCAACCAAGGGATAAAAAAAGAACAAGCAAGACCCTGCGTTCATGGGTCTTATATTATGTGGAAGTAAGGGAGAAGATAGAACATAAATTATTTTAAAGGTAAACAATAAAAACTTTTAGATATTGATGACTGTAATGCAATACAAGGGATTAAGATAGGGTGAAGTCAGGTGAGTAACTAACTGCCTTTTTTAGGATGGGTAGGAAAAACCTCTTTAAGGAGGTCGATATTAAAGTTGAAAATTACAAATGAAGACAAAAGTCAGTCATTTGAAAATAGAGGAGGAGTATTTAAAGCAGCAGAACAGTTGGTGCAAAGGCCTTGTGACAAAGACTAGTTTGGCAAGTTTGAGGAACAAAAAGGCCACTTTGACAGAATCAGAGGGGGAGAGAAAGAATGATTGAGGTGTGGTTAAAGAGAAAAATGGGGGCCAGCCTGTGGCTCACTCGGGAGAGTGCGGTGCTGACAACACCAAGTCAAGGGTTAAGATCCCCTTACTGGTCATCTTTTAAAAAAAAAAAAAAAAAAGATTTCACCAGCTGCTCAGCTTCTCTCTCCATTTCATAACCAAAAAAATTTTTTTAAAGTCTTCATTATATTTTTTCTTTGTAACCTATTCACTACTCAGTCTTTGCCTTCTAGCTTCTTCTTACTATTCCACTAAAACTGTTCAGGCAAAAGTCACCAAGGACTTAATTGGCTAGTCGCCAATTAGTTCTTCTTGAAACTTTTCTCCCCATGGTTGTCAATTCACTGCTCTCTCCAGTCTTGTTGACTCTTCACAGGTTCCTTCTGTCTTTCTCTTAAATGCTGGTGTTTCACAGGGTACCGTCCTGAGTGTTCATCCTCCTCTTGCTCCTTTCTCCACACTCTCCCTCTCATCTGCTCGCATGTCTTCAGTTGTCATCCACCCACCGAGGACTCCCACATGTGGCTGCCACCCTTACTGTTCTGAGCTCCCGATCATACACCCAGCTGCTTACTGGACTCTTCCACTTTGACTTCCCCATGTCGATGTGTTCTCTTTGGTTGCAAGTGATAGAAATTCAACTCAGAGTAGTTTAAGCAGTAAGGGGAAACTAATTATAAGGATAAAAAAGGATGGGTCTTAGAGAATTGAAGATAGAAATGCAATCAGACCTTTAAAAGGAACCAGAATTAGAAACCAAAAACTGTGGGAAGCTCAGGAAGTACTTATGTTTCCTTTTCTCATCTCTGTTTTTCCCTGTGCTTCTTTTTCTCTATCTCCACGGTAGCTTTCACCATCCCTTTTCACCCAAGTGTAGATTATACAGTTCTGCCACACCGATAGTAGGAGTTTTCTTTCTATCCATTTAAAAATTCCTAGGAAAGTAATCCATACTGGTCAGCTATTGGAGGTGGGAGGGAAAGTGTAGCCACACAATACAAATTTGGCTTCTAGAAGCCAGAGCAATTCTCAGAAAAGACAAAGGCTTCCAGGCAAAGCAAAAACCCAAGAAAGTAACTAACTAGTATATGTACTTCAAACTCTGCAAGTCCAAAATTGAACTTTTCTGCCTAGCTGCTCTTTCTCTAAAACCAAATGTAGTAGTATGTTCTTTACCTATCCTAACCTAAACTGCTAAATCATCTCATGGTTTCTACTTCATCTATGGCTTCACTGAAATTCTGCTAAAACTGAAGGTGCAGGTACCTTTTATTCCTGCTTCTTCCATCTCTCAGGGCTACTCAGTCATCTACCTCTTCAGTGGCCCAAGTCTGTCCACTTGTCTCCATTCTTACTGCCTTGACTTATGCCCTTTTCATCTGAATTATTGTAGTTGTCTTTTTTTTTAAAGGATCCGAACCTGTGGCCTTGGTGTTATCAGCACCGCACTTTCCCGAGTGAGTCACAGGCCGGCCCTGAATTATTGTAGTTGTCTGTTAAGGGGTTTTCCTGCTTTGGGGCTTGCCTTCTTTGGTTCACCCTCCACGCTGCAGCCAGAGTGATCTTTCTGAAATACCGATCTTGTCATATCACTCTCCAGCTTTGAGGTCTTTCTATTCCTTATAGTCTGTCTGGGGTGAAAAGTGAATATCGGTGAAGGCGCCAATGAGAGTTGTCCCATGAGCTGGGGTCTGGAGGGTAAGTGAAGCTTGTTGGGTGGAGGAGTAGATAAAGCTGTGTGTTTGTGTGACATTCCTTGATGTCACGTAGTGTTCTAAAGCTCACATAGTTCCTGATGAGTGACTTGCCTCTCTCTCATAGACAACTAGCCTTCTCCAAGTTCTTTGCTTTGCAGAGCTGTCTATACCACCAAATCGTTTCTCCCTGTAGTCAGCTTCTGCTTAGCTCAACCACACTGGACCAATAGATTGCTGAAGCAACTTTTGTCTTCTCTATAGGCTCATGAGCGCTCAGAGAGCTCAGAGGTGGCTTTTGTGATACAGCTGGTAAAAAAGCTGATGATTGTCATTGCCCGCCCAGCTCGTCTCCTAGAATGCCTGGTGAGTGGGCTCTGCTCTGGGAAGGTTAGGTGGGGAGATGGGCAGTTGTGGGGGTGCTGCACAGGAAGTATCCTGCTAGCATCAAAACTGGTGGCACCCACTGCCATTTTGGTTGCTGAGGTGTACTTATTTAAATATGATTTGCAAGCATTGTGGGACTAAACAGATTCTCATGAGGACAAATGGATGGTCCTGCAGGGTGTGGTAGGGGAAAGTATTAGTCTGGCTCACCCCTACACTGAGCAAACTCCAGATCGGGGGGCTTTGGGGACAAGGAACATCAAGGAGCACAGGCAAGTTTAGTTTGCACAAATTGAGTCCTTTATTTTCTCATTCAGCAACACTTTTCTGAGTACCTACTTCGTGCTAGACGTCTAACTGGAGATACAGACATGAATAAAGCAGAGTCCCTGATCTCAAGATGCTTCCTCTATAGTGGAGTTAGGGAGCATAAGGCATGTGGACATGTAAATAATAATTATATTATGAGAAGTCTTGCAACCAAAGTCGATTCAAGGTGCAGTGGGAACCTAGTGAAGGAAGTGCTTTATTCCTCCTAGGAGTGAACGTTCAGTGAAAGCTCCCTGGGAGACATAGGCTTATTCAGCCGGGATAAATGTAGTTTATCAAGTAAGAGACATGGGAAAGGGTGTTCAGTGGAGTACAAGGTGTGTTTGAAGAAGTGGTGAGGGATAAATCTGGAAGGTAGGCCATGGCAGGATCATGGAGGATATTGTCTCGGCTCAGAAGTTTGCACTATCCTTAAGTCTACTTGGAGCCACCAGAAAGTTTAGATAAGAATGCGACATGGTTAGTTTTACTTTTTTTTTTTTTTTTTTTTTTTTTTTTTTTTTTTTTACCAATTTTATTAAGGTATAACTTATATACAATAAAATATATCCCTTTACTCAAAAGTACAGTTCATTGAATCTTAACAAATATACGTACACTTGTGTAATCACTGCCACAGTCAAGATAGAGAACATTTCTATCACCTCAGAAAGTTCTCTTGCGCCCCTTTGCAGACAGCCCTTCCCCCTCCTGCTCCCAGGCAGCCACTTAAGAAAGATTACTTTGGCTGCAACATGGATAATGAATTGGAAGAGAGGGCAGGATGTACCAGGGAAGTGAGCGCAGAGGCACTTAAAGCAGTTTATGTGAGCTGGGGTGGCCAAAACAAGGACAGTCGTAGAACAGAGAGGAAGAGGTGGATAGAGAAGCATGTATCAGGTAGACATTCTGACCAGATGGAGTCTGTGAAAGAATAAGAAGTTAAATGGACCTCCAAGACTGGCTTAGATTATATGTAGATGGGTAGTAGTTTTCCAAAATAGTAAGACCAGAGGGGATAACAGCAAAGTTCAAAGCAGAGGCCTGGGTTGTGATCAAGCAGAGAGCCTGTCCCTCAAGAACATGAAGTCCATGATTAAGAAGAGTCTTGGAGTCAGGCCTGGGTTTGAATCTGGTGCTCTGTTCTGTCCTGTCTCTGACCACAGACAAGTCAGTGCATTCTTGTGAGCCTTGATTTCCTCACCAAGGTCAAAGCATTGTTATAAGGGTTTAGCCCAGAGTGTGGCACTTAATAGGCACTCAGTACATGAAACCCTCATTATTATGTGCAGATATGGACTGTGCTCTATTCAACATTGGATCTCCAGCCCCTAGCACACAGGAGGCACTCCGTAAATATTTGAAGGTATGCGTGCACCACTAGGGCTGTGAGACAAAGCTCTTGTGAACCATAATTGAGTGTGTGTCAGGATATCTCTGCATTAGGCATCTGATCATGCCTGACAATGCCATTTGGCTGACAGAGGGCTTGAGACCAAGTGAATAGGCTGAGTTCTGTTGAAATCAAAAGCCCTGGTCCTTATTGCTGGGACGAAAGCATATACTTAGGATGTTTAACCTGGAGGTGATCTGTGACAAAAGGCAGCTTTGTCCCCATTCTCATGATCCTTGAATCATGTTGTTTCTGGGTATTTGGGGATGGAGGTGTCCCATCACAAAGAGAAAGTCTTCTTGTTCAACTTACTCTCTATATGCTGTAAAACCAAAGAAACCAAAACCTTTACTTGTGTCACTGCAACTGCCTCTCTCCCCTGATACAGGAGTTTGACCCTGAAGAGTTCTACCACCTGTTAGAAGCAGCTGAGGGCCATGCCAAAGAGGGACAAGGGATTAAATGTGACATTCCCCGCTACATCGTTAGCCAACTGGGCCTCACACGGGATCCCCTGGAGGGTGAGCATGTTGCCCAGTGGCTGTAAAGAGGCCCCACCACTGAAAAGCTCTTAACAGCAGGGAAGCCACTTGAAGAAGCGACTTAGCTTGGACATGGACACAACAAGGCATCAAGGGCCTCAGGACAATAGGAGGCCCCAGTGATCTCTCATGAAACAGTCTTTCTTTTGCAATTGCTGTTGACATCTGCCTGATATATCTGAACCTAGATTGCCTTGGTCCCAGCTGGGTTGGATTAAAGTCTCAGATCAAAAGAGGTCAACAACAAAGGACCACAATCGCATTTTCAAAAATGGTCACCTCCTCTGCATACTTGCCTCTCCTGCTGGCCACCTTACAGATCTTCCTGTGTCTTGGTGAGGTGGTCCAACTCAGGGCTTCAGAGGATATCTCCACTTTCTGGGCTTCATGCTAAGCCCTGCATGAACCATGGGCTTCCAAGGCACTAGTCTGTATTTGTCCTGCTCCTGCCTTCTTTGCTTCCCAGCCCCCTTCAGCAAAGCAGAGTCTTGGCCAGGAGGATGGGGACTGGTAGCCCAGCTCTAGGCCCTGTTTTCCAGGAAATGTCCCAAGTTTGAGAGAAGCTTTTATAGAATTTGTCCATCCTTATGAATGGCACTGGACTACTAGAAATAAGGGTAGCAGTAGTGTTTGGCTTGTTTCCTGATCCAAAAGCTGTGACTACACTGAGGATAGAGCCACAGCACTGGATTTGCATCCCAGGCTGATGCAAAAGCATTAATGCCTACCCTACATGTACCTACTGTGTGATCTGAGGATACCACTGGGATGTCTGCCATTGCCATGCACACTTTCCTCTTATGTCCTTGCTTTATTTCTAGAAATGGCCCAGTTGAGCAGCTATGACAGCCCTGATACTCCAGAGACAGATGATTCAGTTGAGGTAAAGACCCCCAAGCTCCTGACCCAATCCTGGAGCATGGGCCCTATGAAGCAAAGGGCTATGAATCCTCTTAAAGAATATCTGAAGGCGGATGAGGGAGTGGGTGGCTGCAAACACTGTCTGAGGAGTCATTCAGCTCCTGGCGAAGAATGGGCAGGAAGCTGCAGCAGGGCCAAGAGCTAAGCTAACGCTCAGGCCACAGCTTCCCCAGGCATATGGGCTCTGAGAAGCATGCTTGCCTCCTGTCTTTTCCCCTGTCTTCCAGGGCCGTGGGGCATCTCTGCCATCTAAAAAGACACCCTCTGAGGAGGACTTTGAAACCATTAAGCTCATCAGCAATGGCGCCTATGGGTAAAGGCAGGGGTCAGGGTGTGGCTGGGACCAGTCAGCCTTTGGAAGTGCATGATGCCCAAGCTTCTGGGAAGCAGATGCCTCAGGGTAGACCCTCTCCCTCCCAGAAGCTTCCTGGAGAGGCAAGGGTTCAGTTCCCTCTGACATCTGGCATTGTTCCTTTCCCAAGCAAGATTCCCACCCCTCCTGGTAGTTCTCCTCTCTCTGAGCTCTGGGAAAAGTCTAAGCTGTGTCCTCGGGATTTTGTCCATCAGGAAATTTAAGAGATCTATGGCCAGGGGCCCAAGAGTTTCTTAGAAATATGCACAACCCTGCTGCCATGTTCTGTGTGTTTATAAGATGTGAGAGGAGGCAGTTTGGGTCGGGGAGAACACAGCTCAGGTGCTGAGGGCCCATGGGGGTTGGGCTGGGCTGTGTTTCCCAGGGCTGTATTTCTGGTGCGGCATAAGTCCACCCGGCAGCGCTTTGCCATGAAGAAGATCAACAAACAGAACCTGATCCTACGGAACCAAATCCAGCAGGCCTTCGTGGAGCGTGACATACTGACTTTCGCTGAGAACCCCTTTGTGGTCAGCATGTTCTGTTCCTTTGAGACCAAGCGTCACTTGTGCATGGTGATGGAGTATGTTGAAGGTAATGAAGGTTCTGGGGAAAAGGTGGCCTGGTGTGGAGACCAAGGCACAGTTTGAGACTTAGCCCTAAACAGGGACGAGCAGCTTTGTACAGGGGAGAAGTTTCAGGGCCTAGCTTCCAAAGCCCTCTTTGGCATTGGTTTCTGCCTCAGGATCTCTGTCCACGGTAAGCACAAAGCTCCCTGCCTCTACCATGAGGCTGCCCATGTCAGGTACAGTGAGAGGTACTCTGGGACAGGATGCAGCAGCCCAGCAGCTATAGAATCCTGTACCCCAAAGCCTGCACATCTTCTATTGCTGGCATCAGACAGGAACAAAGGAGGTAGCAGAGCTGCAAAAGCCCAGGGTATGGTGCTGGGAGGATTGCATCTGGGCCTTTAGAAGAAAGGATAGCCACTGCCCTGGCTGATGGCTTATGAAGGGGACACCCCTTAAACCCACTCAAAATGCTCCAGGAGTGGAATAGAAGAGCAGTGCAGGCATAGCTCTGGCGAGGGATGTCAGCCTTGCCAGCGGTCCTTCCTCTCTCCTCACTATGTATACAGCTTCCAAAGATATCTTTCCTAAGTCTTGAAGGTGAAGCTGAACAAAACCCCCCTTTTAATTTAATGAATGCATGCTGGAGTTTAGAATGTTACTTTACTAAGAAATTAAAGGACAGCCAGTAGGAAGGAAATAAATTAACAAATGCTGAAGCCCTAGCCAGATGTGTTTACAGTACACATACAGTATTCCCATCCAAGATAGCTTAGTCCTAGCCCAATAAGTCAACTTTCAGGCATAGAGGCCTGGGTTCCTTCCCTCTCTAGCCTGAACAATAGCCTTGACAGCTAGTGGCAGATTTATCTTACTTTCCACTCTTCTCCACACCTGGTCTCCCACACATGACAGCAGCAGAGGGGATGGAATCACTGTCTCCAGCACCAGAGTATTTCGTGAGGCTGTCTCCTCTGGGACCATATAGACTACAAGCCTGAGAACTGGCTCCCTCCCTCATGGTGGCCTGGGCTTGTTGCAGGGGGAGACTGTGCAACCCTGCTGAAGAACATTGGGGCCCTGCCTGTGGACATGGCGCGTCTGTACTTTGCGGAAACTGTGCTGGCCCTGGAGTACTTACACAACTATGGCATCGTTCACCGTGACCTCAAGCCTGACAAGTATGTCCAGGGTCCCCCTCCTGTGTTTCTAGATAAATGGAGGCAAACACAGCATGTTTGAATCTATCCCAGAATGGCTGCCAGAAAACAATGCTCATGTGAATGTCCATCTAGGCCTAATACTCTACCCTGACCACCCCAGATACAAAGATTATTGCCACAAGTCTGGCAGGAGCATCATAAGGCTTCAGTAACATTAATGAGTCACTGAGTAGCTCCACTGAAGAAACGAAGCAAGAATGAAAGAAGCAGCACATCTAGTATATGGCTGAACAAGTGTCCTGACATTTACTGACACCTACTCTGTGCCAAGCACTATATTCTGGGTTTTGAATATAGTCCCTTAAATAAGGCATATAGAACTTAAGTCTAGTGTAGGAGACAGAAATATATGTGTATAAGCTACTACTTGGAGAGCATTAGGTTGAAAAAGGTGGAAGGAAGTGCAAAGGCACATAGGTGTGAGAGAAGGTGACCCGTTCCGGAACTACAAGTAGTACAGTATGGCTACAGGTAAGATTAGTCATTCGGAGAGTAGTAAGAGACAAGTCTAGAGAGAGAGGCAAGGACTGGATCATCAAGCGTCCTTTCGTTAAGTTTGGGTTTTATTTTTTATTATTTATTTATTTTATTTTGGCAATATATATAAAACATAAGATTTGCTATTTTAACCATTTTTAACCATACAGTTCCATGGAATTAATTACATTCACAATGCTGTGACCATGACCTCTATCTATTTAAGTTTGGGTTTTATTTAAAGGGTCCTAGAGAGTCTTCAAAGGGCCTGTTAACCAAAGGTATGAGAGAATGACATGCTCAGATTTTGGTTTAGGTTTAGAAAGATCACTCTGTCAGTGGAAAGAGATGGTTAGACTACTGCAGTAGACCAGGCCAAGGACGACAATGTCTGTGCCAGAACAGAGAGGAGGGAGAAGAGAGGGGACAGTGGAGGGAAGTAGAAAGGAACAGATAAGGTTGGGTTGGGAGTGGAAAGGGAAGCAAAGGAGCAGAAGAAGGCTGGGATATCTTCCAGATTTCTAGCTGGGGGCTGGTGCAGGATGCTAAGCCTCTGTGGTAGAAAGTAGCTTTGACATTAGACAAACCTGAGTTCAGTGGCCACTCTTCTGCCTGTTAACTCTGTGAGTTTGAGTTTGTTAATTAAATTCCTCTGAGCCTGTGTTCCTCCTCTCTAAAACGGGGATAATAATACCTACCTTTGTTGTGTTAGCTACTCTAGAAAACCTTTCAAGGGCCAGAATATTTTTAAAGCATTTATTACAGAGCCTAGTAGATAACTGAAATTATTGTTTTTCTCTGAGAAGAGGAACCCGTTGGGAGGTATGACTTTGTTTTGGACAGGCTGAGTTTGTGGTGCTTGTAAGGCATCTGGGCAGCTGGGTAGGCATGGATCTCATGAAAGATGTCAGGGCCAGAGATACTGAGTCAGGAGTCATGGCAGGGTGAAGCCTTTGACACAAAATGAAATGGCTCAGGCAGAGCAAGTAAAGGGATCTTATTCCTAGTTTTTCCCAACCAACCCTCCTTCTAAGGCCAGCCATGGACAAGGAGCAAGATTATTTGAGCCACCCAAGTGAGGAGAGCGGACTAAGAGTAGCAAGAGCAACAGCTTTAGGATGAGGCTGATCTCAACTCTGTAGAAGAAAGTCTGTTCCTCAACTGACACCTGCCCCCAGTATAGAATACATTTAGAGCACTAAATAGAAATGGGGTTATGGGAATAGGCAAAAGGCAGGTTAGTTGCTTACGCAGAATACAGTACCCACAAAGCCAGAGTTATTTGCTTTTTCTCAGCTGCCTGTCTCCCTCTTATGTCCCACAGTAACCCTGGAGAAGGCTGAGTGGGAAAATTGGCACATACTAAAATCAGCACTGTTGGAAAGCCAGGAGATAACTCCATAATTTTGTTTCTCTGTTCTCCCAGCCTCCTGATTACGTCCATGGGGCATATCAAGCTCACTGACTTTGGACTTTCTAAAATTGGCCTCATGAGTCTGACAACAAACTTGTACGAGGGCCACATTGAAAAGGATGCTCGGGAGTTCCTGGACAAGCAGGTAAGGAAGGATAGTTGAGACCCTGGGGGTTGAATTCCAAGCCTCAACATAAGGTCTTGGGGTCACATGCTTGCCCTGTAGCTGGATATGAAGATTGAGAATTCCTGTCTTTTCTGCCTTTTGGTTCTAGGGAAGCATTGAGATAGGTTGCATATTTAGATGAAATCCAAAGTCATCTTCCTTCTTAGAGTTTGGAGAAAATAGGTCACATAACTGTTAACACTCACAGAGTTTCACGTGAGATCCATATTGAACCTCCCAGTCTTAGTCAAGAGCAAAGCTCTCCTGGGTCCTGTTGTTCTTAGAGCACAGTTCCAGACTTCCACTGGGCTGTAGCCCATTTTCTTGAGAGTAGCCTGTGGATGTTTCCTGAATTGACATTTCAGGTTGTGAATATTTACAAATCCTGGTAGTAGTCGCGTGACTAGTAGGGTCTGGTCTTTGCGAGGCTTGAGGGCAGACACAAATTGTGGGACCAGATGCCAGAAGGGGGTTTATGGGCTCAGGGTTGATGGTTCCTGACTAGAATTAGACATTTTGGTTAATTAGAAAATACATAAACTCACCAAACTAGTAGTTCCAACTCTGGGTCCCTGGTGCTCTTCTTGATCTCATTCATTAAATAAGGTGAGCCAAATCTTCATTTAGAGACTTTTCTGCTCTAGAGGTGGGAACATCCTCACCCCTCCATCCATCATGCCAGTGAGGTGCCTCAGGATGCTGAGTCAGCCTTGCTTCTCTGTACCCAGGTATGCGGGACCCCAGAGTACATTGCACCTGAGGTGATCCTGCGTCAGGGCTATGGGAAGCCAGTGGACTGGTGGGCCATGGGCATAATCCTGTATGAGTTCCTGGTGGGTTGCGTCCCTTTCTTTGGAGACACTCCAGAGGAGCTCTTTGGACAAGTGATCAGTGGTAGGTACTATCACCCAGGCCCAATGGGGAGATAGAGTCTGAATCCATACATGTGGTTTACGCATGCACCTGTGAAGCCAATGAGTTCTTGTTTCTTACGGGTGTGCGTGTATCTGTGTGTCTGCATGCATACACACATGCACACGCACTCTGTGTCCCCTGGAGCTTGTTCTATTTGTGTTCATGTATCTCCCTATGTACATGGGTGTTCATGTGTTGTGTATGTGCACATCCCGTGAGTGTGCGCGTGTCTGGAGAATAAAGGCAAGGTGAGCTGGAACTTCAGGACAGGGGAAGTCACTGTTTTGCAATGCCCACCCTGGATCAAAGAGCAAGCCACGGTCAAAGGTGTGAGACCTCCTAGGAGGGGAAGGACCTATAGACTTTAAGGAACTGGGATCCCAGGCAAGGTTTTCGGGGGCTCTGGGCTGGGCCCTTTATGCCTCCCTTCCTTATATTATGCTGAAGCCCTCCTCTCCATCTCCCTACTCTATCCACAAATTCTCCTTTTCCCTCTCACCCCTGATGACTTCAGATGAAATTGTGTGGCCTGAGGGTGATGATGCACTGCCTCCAGACGCCCAGGACCTCACCTCCAAACTGCTCCACCAGAACCCTCTGGAGAGACTGGGTACAGGTAGGACAGGCCCCACTAATCTTTCCCACCACTTGTAAAAGGGGGAAGGGAGGCTGAGTGCATGAACCCTGGAGGATCAGGCTCCAGGTGTGGACAGTCCCTCTGGATCCTGAAACTCTGCCCTGCTCCCTGTAGGCAGAGAAGGAAAGGTGCTTGAGCTGAGGCCTCCAGGCCTAGCTTCATGAGGTCTGGCTTCTCACTTGGCTTGCTGACCTGGACTCCACACAACTCATCCCACCCCCTTGCCATGCCCTCCCTGTCTACAGGCAGTGCCTATGAGGTGAAGCAGCACCCATTCTTTATGGGTCTGGACTGGACAGGACTTCTTCGCCAGAAGGCTGAATTTATTCCTCAACTGGAGTCGGAAGATGATACCAGCTACTTTGACAGTAAGGTCACAGTAGGGTGGGGTCCTCCCTGTTCGCTCAGAAACACTTGTGCACCCTGAACTTGGCATTGGGAGCAACTTTTCAGGGCCCTGCTGAGGTCTGATAGGGTCTAAAGGAGACTCGTGTGTGTCTGGCCCAGCCCGCTCAGAGCGATACCACCATGTGGACTCGGAGGACGAGGAGGAAGTGAGCGAGGATGGCTACCTTGAGATCCGGCAGTTCTCTTCCTGCTCTCCAAGGTTCAGCAAGGTGCGGTGGCAGAGGCCCAGCCTGGGCAGGACAGGCTGGAGGTCGGGGGGAATACGACCCGTCAAGGGACACACTGGGGCAGGCTCAGGGAGTTGGTGGTAGGGCCACCTCTAGGAAAAGGGGAGCAGAGGGCTGGGGCTGCATACAGCTGGTGCTTCCAGAACCACTGCAGTTGCTGGCAGAGATAGCAAACTGAGGCCAGGTCACACCAGCAGAGTAACTGCTTCCCCAAGTATTAAACTGGGATGTGCGGGGAGGGAAGGAGAGGACTGGTTCAAGTTTCTGGATTTCAGACATCAGAGCCCGTCCCCAGCACATCCCTGTGCCCACAGGTGTACAGTAGCATGGAGCGGCTCTCACTGCTTGAGGAGCGTCAGACACCGCACTCCACCAAGCGCAGCCTCAGTGAGGAGAAGGACCGCTCCGATGGCCTGCCAGGGCTGAAGGGCCGAGACCGGAGCTGGGTCATTGGCTCCCCTGAGATGTGAGCACCTAGAGCTCACCCAGGGTTGGCAGTACAGCCATCTCTCAGTTGTCACAGATCTTGGGAAAGACTGATGGTGGGAAGGAGTTCTGGTGGCAGTGAGGGAGCATGAACAAGGGCAGCTCCTGGAGGAATGTCTGAGAGAAACATTGTGTTGCTATAACCCTTGTGTAGCCCTAGGAAAGCCTGGGCGGGAGGAGGGCGACTGCCTGGGCCATCTCACCCCAGGCCTTGTGTCTCACAGATTGCGGAAGCGGCTGTCAGTGTCTGAGTCATCCCACACAGAGAGTGACTCCAGCCCTCCAATGACAGTGCGACGCCGTTGCTCAGGCCTCCTAGATATGCCTCGATTCCCTGAGGGCCCTGAGGAGACCAGCAGCATGCCCAGGAGGCAGCAGCAGGAGGGTATATGGCTCCTGACACCCTCATCTGGAGAGGGGGTGTCTGGTCCTGTCCCAGAGCGGCCAGTGGAGCAGCGGCTGAAGCTGTATGAGGAACCTGTTGGCCAGAGTGGTGGTTCCAGTCCAGGTGTGGCCCAGTGGGTGACCAAAGGGCCTAGTTCAGGGGATTCTGCAGGGCGGAGGCTCGGCTGCATCACAGTCTGATTGCTCACTTGGGCCCACAGCCATGGAGACCCAAGGCCATGGGACCCCACAGCTGGCCGAGGGAGCTGCAGCCAAGGCCATCAGCGACCTGGCTGTGCGTAGGGCCCGCCACCGGCTGCTCTCTGGGGACTCTATAGAGAAACGCACTGCTCGCCCTGTCAACAAAGTGATCAAGTCCGCCTCAGCCACAGCCCTCTCCCTCCTCATTCCTGCGGGTGAGGCCCCCAGGGAGCTGCGAAAAAACTGACAGGAAGGGCCTTGGAATCTGTGGGACTGTGGCTGGGGTCTGCATGTGGCATGTGTGTGTGTGTGTGTACACATGTTGAGGAGCAGGTATCTGACAGACTGTGTGTCCCTCTGTTATGAAGCTGGAGGTCTCTGAAGGTGTGCCTTGGCATCTGGAGTTGTGTGTGTGTGTGTGCGTGCGTGTGTGTGCTCACATGTGCGCACCAAAAGGCAGGCTAGCACCAAGTAACGATTGCAGATTTGAAACAGAGAGCCGATAGTCAAATACTGGCTCCATTATTAAATGGCTCTTGACCTTGAGAAAGTTGCTTAACTCCTCTAACCCTCAAGTTCCTCATCAAGAAATGTAAATATTAATAGTGGCTAGCTCATAGGATAATTGTGACATTTGAATATGTATGATGAAGAGCTTCTGTGTCCCTGATATATATGTAAATGTTTGCTGCCACTCCCGTGTCTCTCTCTCTCTCTCTCTCTCTCTCTCTCTCTCTCTCTCTCTCTCTCTCTCTCTCTCTCTCTCTCTCTCACACACACACACACACACTCTCTCTCTCTCTCTCTCTCTCTCTCTCTCTCTCTCTCTCTTTGGGGGTCTGGGAGGGTCTGGGCACATGAGAGGGCTGTACAGGTCAGGGGCGGTAGGGAAGATGCACCTGGGCTCAGGCTTTGTCTGTGCCAGGGCCCTCTGACGCACTAAATCCTGACATTTCCCCCTACAGAACACCACACCTGCTCTCCATTGGCCAGCCCAATGTCCCCACATTCCCAGTCGTCCAACCCGTCATCCAGGGACTCTTCCCCAAGCAGGGACTTCTTGCCAGCCCTCGGCAGCTTGAGGCCTCCCATCATCATCCACCGAGCTGGCAAGAAGTATGGCTTCACCCTGCGGGCCATTCGCGTCTACATGGGTGACTCAGATGTCTACACTGTGCACCACATGGTGTGGGTATGTCTGGCCACCCAGACCTTTTGTTTCCCATCTTCATCACTCTTCCACTTTTCCCTTCATGGAGCCTGGCTGTCCCTGCCCACACTACCCTCAGGGGTCAAAGGGGGGTGGTAAAGGGGGTCACAGCTTAATGAGCAGAATCAGGTCCCGTGATTCATGCTCAGGCCCCAGACTGAGGACTGTTCTCTTCCTGGTGTAGCACGTGGAGGATGGAGGTCCTGCCAGTGAGGCAGGGCTTCGTCAGGGAGACCTCATCACCCATGTGAACGGAGAACCTGTGCATGGGCTGGTGCACACGGAGGTGGTGGAGCTGATCCTGAAGGTTAGTGCTGGGGATGCTGTCTGCTGTGGTTCCTGAATGACCCCAGCCTCATGAGTCTGTGACTGGCCACAGAGAAGTGGGTGAATTGGGCGCATACACACCTGACATTGAGGACTTATATAGGTATACACAGAACTTGGGTATGGCATAGCAGAGGGTTTTCTCTAGAAGGCAGCTCCCTCACTGACCAAGGCCCAGGGAGGTAGGATGGGAGAACAGGACAGGTGAGCCTCTTCTCTATCTTCCCACCCCCAAATCACTCTGGAGCTACAATGGGAGCCATTTCCTAATCTGTGAAGAGGGAAGACAGGTCTCTGGTTCAGACATGTTGGTGCAGGGGCAAAAGCTGGAGCTGTAGTACAGCCATGCTCAGGATAGGGGCAAGGGCAAGAATACAGCCACCACCTTAGCCTAGGCCTCATGCTCTGCTCCCCAGAGTGGAAACAAGGTGTCTATTTCAACAACTCCTCTGGAGAATACATCCATTAAAGTGGGTCCAGCTCGGAAGGGCAGCTACAAGGCCAAGATGGCCCGAAGAAGCAAGCGGAGCCGGGGCAAGGATGGGCAAGAAAGGTGAGCTGGGATTAGTCCAGAAGATCTCTGAGCCACGTAGGTGCTAGTATGTGCTGGGTACCTTGTCCCTGGGCCTAGCATGTGCTCTGCCCTATGCACCAACTCAGCCGTTGACCCTTTTCTCTGCAGCAGAAAAAGGAGCTCCCTGTTCCGGAAGATCACAAAGCAGGCATCCCTGCTCCACACCAGCCGCAGCCTTTCTTCCCTTAACCGCTCCTTGTCATCAGGGGAGAGTGGGCCAGGCTCTCCCACACACAGCCACAGCCTTTCTCCCCGATCTCCCACTCAGGGCTACCGGGTGACCCCCGATGCTGTGCATTCAGGTATGAAGGACTCCCTGCATATCAGAGATAACCCCTGGGAAATAGCAAAGTGCCTGAGCCCTCTGTGCTTCTCACAAGGTCCCACTCTAAATCTTTTATTCAGCCCACCCACCTGAAGGATCTAGCAGTCTTAGAAAGGAATTGATGGGGGAAGGGGGTCTGGGCTCTGGTCCACTGTTGGGGTATTCTGGACAATCCTGGGACATTTCAGGGCTAAGTCCTGCCTTGCCCCTCAGTCACTTCTAACAGCTAATACCTCTCTGCCTTTGTCTATTTGTCTGTTTGTCTGTACAAAGTGGGGGGAAACTCATCACAGAGCAGCTCCCCCAGCTCCAGTGTGCCCAGTTCCCCTGCAAGCTCTGGGCACACACGGCCCAGCTCTCTACATGGTCTGGCACCCAAGCTCCAGCGTCAGTACCGCTCTCCACGGCGCAAGTCAGCAGGCAGCATCCCACTGTCACCACTGGCCCATACCCCTTCACCACCACCACCGGCAGCTTCACCTCAGCGTTCCCCATCGCCCCTCTCTGGCCACGGAACCCAGGCCTTTCCCACCAAGTTTCACTTGTCGCCTCCCCTAGGCAGGCAACTCTCACGACCCAAGAGTGCAGAGCCACCCCGCTCACCACTACTTAAAAGAGTACAGTCAGCTGAGAAACTGGCGGCTGCACTTGCTGCTTCGGAAAAGAAGCTAGCCCCTTCTCGCAAGCATAGCCTTGACCTGCCTCACTCTGAGCTAAAGAAGGAACTACCACCTAGGGAAGTCAGCCCTCTGGAGGTAGTTGGGACCAGGGGTGTGTTATCTGGGAAGGGGGCACTGCCAGGGAAGGGGGTGCTGCAGCCTGCTTCATCATGGGCCCTAGGTACACTCCGGCAGGACCGAGCTGAACGACGAGAGTCACTGCAGAAGCAAGAAGCTATCCGGGAGGTAGACTCCTCAGAGGATGACACCGATGAGGGGGCTGAGAACAGCCAGGGTGTACGGGAGCCAGGCTTGGCACGTAAGCCAGAAATGAGCCAGAATCCACCCTCCAGAGGAGCAGGAGAGGGTGGGGGAGAAGATACCTTCTTGCCCAAAGACCCCAGGAGCCAAGGCCCAGTGGCCCTGGGCCTATTGACAGAGATCACCCTGGGACCTCCCAAAATAGACGGTCCTGGTGTCCCCCAGAAGAAGCTTGGGAGCCCACAAGCTTTTGAGGAGGCTGTTAGCTCCTCTTCACCTGCCCCTAGCTTGGGTAGGTCTGGACCCACAGACCCCACCGCCCCTGAAGGCTGCTGGAAGACCCAGCACCTCCACACCCAGGCACTGACAGCACTTTGTCCCGGCTCTTCAGGACTCATACCCCCCAGTTGCTCTGCTGCTGCCTCCACCTCGGGGAAGCCAGGCACATGGTCCTGGAAATTCCTTATTGAGGGTCCGGACAGAGCATCCCCAAGCAGAAAGGCAACAAAGGCAGGTGGGCTAGCTAACCCCCAGGATTTGGAAACCACAACTCCAGCCTACTCTAAGAACCTGTCTCCCAGGCAGGAGGGAAAATATTGGCAATCCAGTGCCCCTGGGCTGGCCCATCCACCTTGTGAGGTTTCCAGCCAAAGCTGGCTATGGGAGCCTGAACATGCACAAGTAGAGAAAGAGGAGACATCCCTGAGCATCACCGAAGTGCCGGATGCCTCAGGTGACAGAAGACAGGATCTTGCATACAGAGGCTGCTCGCTAACCCAGGAGCCCTGCCTGCTCTGGAGGGGCCGAGAACCAGGGGGCCATCAAAAGCATCAGGACTTGGCATTGGCACCAGACGAGCTTTTAAAGCAAGCATAGTAGTCATTTGCCATTTTTTGCACTCAAACCTGTGTAATACACGCTCCTGGAAACCGTCTTTATGTCTTTTGCTTGCTTCTTTTCTGCAGTTAATACACATGTAACTCTGGGTCCTGTGCTGCTTCTGGGAATATAGTGGTGAATAAGACAGTTTTCATCCTCAGGAAAGGGGTGCCTAACCCAGTTTGACTTTTCAGAGACTGATATCTCAGCTCAAACATGAAGAGTATGTGATAGGTAGTTTGCTAGATACGGAAGTGTTGGGGTCAGCTCAAGCATGTCCAGGCAAAGCACAGCATATACAATATTCTGGTATATTCAAGGAACCAAAAATAATTCAAAGTGGAAATAGATCTGTCAAGTTAGGCAAGACCATATCTAATGGTCTTCCAGGAGTTTAGACTTAGGTGATGGGGAACCAGAGAAGGCCATGTGGGGACTAATATTCCTATTTTATAGATGAGGGCACTTAGGCTTTTATGCCCAAAGTCATACAGCTTGGGCAGAGCTGGGATTAGAACCTAGGTCTCGACTAGAACTCACATTTATCACCTAACTTGAAGTGCCTCTTAGCCAAGAAATGAGGAGAAGAGGTGGGAGGAGGTAAAGAGTTTAATTTTTGTGTACTTAATTTGAACTACTTGTGGGACACCCAGAAGGTAACTGGATGCGTGGGTCTGGACTCAGGAGGGAAATCTAGACTAGACAGAAATGAGAGCCATCAAAGTATCAACAGTGATATATTCGGGAATACTAACATATAAGGCAAAGAAAGAAGACTTAGAAGAAGCAGACAGAAGAGTCATAAAATCCAAGAGGAAAGAGCTTTAAAGTGGAGGGAGAAGTTACTTGATAAAATGCTATAACACCAAGGTGAAGGGTTCAGATGCCCATACCAGTCAACTGCCCAAAAAAAGAAAAAGAAAGAAATGGAAAAAAAATTCTGAGATCAGGTGAGATGAAACGAGAAAGTTGTCTATTGTGTTTAGTAATAAGACCTTAGAGTTGGTGGCCAGGGAGCCTCCCTGGTTATTGTCAGGTAGGCCTCAGCACAGGAGGTGGACATTGCTGTGTGCAGCCCTCAATGAGTAAAACTGCACTTGGTGATGGGTAGTGTAGAAGGGAGGGGGAGGACATAAGTGGGACCAGGATGATGGAGGAGTCAAGAGGTGGTATCCACAGGATAGGAAGTGGGGCTTGGTGGAGTGCCTCCATAGTGATACAGGACATGCCAAACTTCTTGCACTGACTGTTGTGTTGATTGTCCCACAATCCGATGCCTAGGTCTGAAGGGGAGAATTCAAAAGGTCTGGAGACAGGAAGATGCCTCCGGGCCACTGGCTGGGTGCCTCATGCACCCCCACAGCTCTTTGTTGCCCTGCGTAGGGAAGGCTTTGGCCACCAGAGGGCACACTTTGCCATGGTGACAGAACCCACCTTCAGGGACATCTGGCCCTCAGCCTTCCAGTCCTCTCTTGATTTTACTTCCTCCTTCCTTCAGTTATTCATTGACAGCAGACTCTGGGCTGTCTACACTGGGCATCAGAAAGACAGGTCACAGGTCATTGCCTGGAGGATTGCAGAGGGATGGCTAAGGGGGTAAGTGCCTCCTGTATGTCAGGATCTGGTCAGAAGCACCATACCATAGGTGAAGGGGGATGGGGGCAAAACATCTTGCAGTGTTTCATGGGAACTGCCCTCCCAGGGGTTTGGGAATGGGGTTGGGAGGAGTGAACACAGAGATGCTGGGCATCGTTTAACGCACAGTGCAAGCCCCACATGCCAGTGATGCTGTCCTTGAGAAACACTTGGATTATCCTGAGGGGAGTGAGTTTCTGAAAAGTAGCTTCAGGAGAGTGATATCATCAGACTTATGTTTTAGGAAGATCACTGGCTGCAGTGTAGAGACTTGAGTGGAGCAAGCAGACCAGAAAGAGAATGGAATACTGGCCTGTTATGGTGGTCAGAACTAGGACACCAACAGTGAGGAGGTAACCCCACTCGGGAAGGAAGGAGGGAAAGTGTGGGAAGCTGGACACAGGTTTAGGAGCTGTCAGGAAACAGATGGTAATGAAAGCCATAGGAGATGAGGACTATCCAGGGAACGTGCAGACTGAGAATGGAAGAAGGCCCAAGACACTGGGGTTAGCTGAGGGGACAGAGCCATGAAGAGAAATTGAATCAGGGAAAAGCCAGGCCATTCAAAGAATTTTGTAATCTGCCCTAAAGGCAACTGAAAGTTATTTAATGTTTTACACAGGTTCAGATTTGTATTGTGAAATGATGACTCATTGCTATAATGAGAATGGATTTGTGGGGGGCAAGAACGGAAGAAGAGAGCCCTTCTGGTATTAAGGCTAACGATGGTAATGAAGCAGTGAAATGAGAAGTGATGATTTGACTGATATTTAGAAGGTAAAATTAATATGCATTGATGAAGGGTTTTATGTAGATGTGAAGCAGAGGGCTATCAAGGATGACGACTACACTTCTGACATACATAACCAGATAAATTATATTTCCATTTGCTGAAATATAAACCAAAGAGAACCAGGGCTGGGTGGTGACCCTGCATTCAGTGCTGCACTCAATATGCTGACTGTGAAGTATCTTCCAACAGAGTTCTAGGCAGGAGAAACAAATGTAACTGGCCTACAAATGGTAAATGGATTCATAGATGTGGATGCAACTGCTAGGTAAAAAGGCATAGTGGGAAGGCTGGAGGAGTCCAGGAGACTTAAAAGGAACAGAGAAGTCCAAGGAAAACTAGAGTGAGTTGTAAAAGGAGTCTTTCCATGGACAGAGTGGTCAACAGTGATAATTATTAAAGACATCAGGGAGAGCAGTTTCAGGTAGTGGTGGAACCTGTACTGAAATGCTTGAGGTGAGGTAATAAGACATTTAGGCAGCTCTTTCAAAAGGCTTGGCTTTGAAGAGAAGAGATAAGGGATATGGAATTGAGTAGGGATTGGAGAAGTAAAATGAGAGACAATCTAACATGTTTAAATGTTGATGGGGATGATCCTTGTTGAGAGGAAATAATAATAGTGAAAGAATTGATAATTGATCATGGGAGATTTCTGAGAAGGTGGGAGAAAATAGAATCCAAAATACACCTGGAGGGATTTGCTTTAGTTGGAGGACTACCTTTTAAAATTTAATAGATGGGATGGAGAGGACCTGGTGGTAGGAAGGTAAGGGAACGCAGAGCTGACCATATATTTTCTCTCTGAATAGAGAAGTTTGAAGTGTCTGTGGGATGCCCAAGGCTGCAGTGGAGACATTCAGCCAGCAGGTGGAGTTCAGAAGAAAGGACTGGACAGGAGATAAGAATTTGAGCATCCTAAACAGAAATATGAACAACTCGGGATTAGGGGACATCATCCATAGTTCCTAGCAGTGGCCTTGGGCATGCTACGCAGCTAAAGTGTAGTAGAGAGGAAGGCAAAAAGGTCATTTAGAACAGACTGTTCCCCCACCCAATCTGATTTTGTAATTGAATACACATGTAAATGGGGCCCGAGGGAGACACGGATGAGCACTGCAATGTCCTGTGCAACAAGACGTTGTCACGTGTTTGCTGGTTACGTTCCCAACACATAGGAACCTCAAAAAAGTACTTTGGGGGCCGAGCCCGTGGCACACTCGGGAGAGTGCCGCGCTGGGAGTGCAGCAGCGCTCCCGCCGCAGGTTCGGATCCTGTGTGGGGATGACCGGTGCACTCACAGCACTTACTGGCTGAGCACGGTGGTCTCAAAAAGGACAAAAAAAAAAAAAAAAAAAAA